TCTCAACAAAAGCTTACACATAACACTTCTAATCGACACCATGTTATGATACATAATATTCTCAAAACGATGGAAAATAGTACATATGATAGTGAATCCGAAACTAGAAAAGGACGCAATTTAAAAAAAAATTATAGGCCGATTAACGTACTGTCAGCCATAAGAACGATTGCTGAACGAGTAATGCTGGATAAACTAAAAGTAGAGACAGAAACACTAGGAATACCTGCGAAATCGTAATTTGAACTTAGAGCCAGAAACTGGCTTTAAAAACTAAAACTAGCGGAATAGATTTGCCAAGGATTTCACTTACCAAAACTGACAAAAATTAACTACAAAAAATCATCATCATCGTACGTCGAGTCCTGGCAGAGAACTTCATCCAAAGTGACGACCCTAACACACACAACACGACTTCAAGAAGATATAGCAAAGGCAGAAAGGATTCTCATGCTACCCCAAACTAAAAAGAAGAGAATACAAGAATATAACATTACCAAAGTAGAAATCCTCCACGGTAAAACCGTACGTGTTGTGGGAAGTATTCATCTCTGGTTAACACAGGTATCAACCTCCACCACAAGTTATGAATATCCGAATGTATGAAAATAAAATAAAATAAATTAGAATAAAATGGAATAAAATAGATTAAAATAAAATAATATTAAATAAAATTAATTCAAAATAGAATTAAATAGAGTAAAATAGAATAAAAGTTAATAATTAGAGTAAAATAATATAAAACGAAATAAAAAGGAAATAAAATAAAATGAAATAAATTAAATTTAGATAAAATAATATAAAATAGAATAAAATGAAATAAAGCAGAACAAAATAGAATAAAATAGATTAAAATAGAATAAAAGTAAATTAAATTGAAATAAAATAAAATTAAGAAGGAGAGGAAAGGTTTTCTACGATCTTGCGCTTCCATTTCCCATTGTTGTATCCCAATTCTAGATAAATTCTTTGGAAGAATATGTGGTACCTTATTCGCTCCATGCGTGACCATGGTAGGGGTACCTTGAAACGATGCCAGCGTGCGTAGCGGCGAAATATGACAAAATTGGGCCGATATTTTTACGCCTAAATTTTATCAAAAATGGGTGCAAATACATGTTGCGTATTTAATTGTGCTGATAATAGCAAAAATAGTGTAGTTTTTATAGGTTTTCAAAGATTACATATAAATGAGAAAAAAGAAAAAGATGGATTCGTGCTATTAATATGAAAAAGTAAATATCACATCATTTAATTTTTATGCAATTTAAATAGGAAAAATTTAAATAATTTACCTTAAATGATATTTCATAAGGCTTCAAGCTAACTGCAGCCTGTACGATGACTTTAGTTTGTATATCATAACTTTTACTATTATTGTTTTTAATTACATGCTCTTCAACATGAAAAACTTGATTTTCCAATACTAGATTTTTTGCTTTCTTCGCCGTTTTGGTTGAAAAGATAAATTGTGATGAATTTTTAGAAACCCAGTTTTTAATACTACATTATTATTTTGTACATAAACTGAAAAATATCATTAAAAAAACTTCATATGTATTTAACATATGCTTAACCGCAAATTAGGAGGTCTAAAACTGTCAGATGGAGGCAATAGGTGTCGTGTCAGTCACGCACGAAGCGAATATGCGTTTGGTGGATGATAATTTCCCCTAATGCAGGATAATACTTGGCCGCACGTAACCAGAGCAACAGTACAATACTTTACAGATGATACTATTCCGATACTAGCCTACAAGTCCAGACTTTAATCCCATAGAGCATTTATCGGTTAACTTTGAATTTTGTATTTAGGCAAAAGTTATGGCATGTTTGAAACTGTGGTAGGGTTAGGACAGGCGCTGTTAAACCTATAGGAACAAATACCGCAAAACGAGATTGCGACTTGTATCCAGTCTATGTCAGAAAAAATGAGAGATGTTATTCATGTTTTTAGATTATTTTATGTTTCCGATTTAAAGAATGTTTTTTTTTGGAATACAAAAAAATTAAAACTTTTGTTTGTTTAATTTATCAATATTTTGTGAAATCTTTTTTTTAATTTTACGGTTTGTTCTTAAACATGAAAGGAAAATTATTGGAATTTGTTTTTCTAATACCTTTTAATTTTACTTGAAAAAACTGTCCGGTTATTATTGTGGGGCATTGTATTTATATCTTTAACATCATCATCCAACCTTCTGGGTCCAAAGTTTAACATGGGCCTCTCCTAATATCTTCCAGTTCTGTCAGACTTTCTTTCTACAGCGAATTCCATTGTGATCATCGTATTGTCTTTCCAAAATTTATGTTCAAACCAACTTCACTACAGGCGGCATCTAACTCAGTAAGTATAGTTACAATCTCGTTTAAATTATTTGTTATCAGAACAATGTCGTCCGCAAATCGTAGATGGGAGAGCATTTTGCCGTAAACATTGATTACTTTGGCTTCCCACTCCAATTTTTTGAAAGTATGTTATAGAACTGCCGTAAGGAGTTTAGAAGATAACATGTCTCCTTGTCCGATTCCTCTGTTGATTTTTATACAATTTTTATCTTTGTGTAGTCTTACGAGAAGGAATAGATGATAGTAAGCTTGGGTTCAGAAACGGACTAGGAACCAGAGAAGCGATATTTGCTTTTAATGTGTTAGCTCAAAGATGCATGGATATGAATGTTGATGTGCACGTTTGTTACGTTAATTTTGAAAAAGCATTTGACCAAGTAAGACATGAAAAATTAATCCAAATTCTAAAAACAAAAAACATAGACCATATGGACTTACGAATAACAATAAACCTCTACTGGAATCAAAGAGCACAAATCGTAATAGATAACGAACCCAGTACAGAAATTTAAATCAGGAGAGGAGTTAGGCAGGGATGTATTATGTCCCCATTACTATTTAATGTATGTAGTGAAGCCATTTTTGAAGAAGCATTACTATCTAAAAGTGAAGGAATAATAATTAACGGAAGATCTAATTATATATTTATTATTAGATAATTAACAACATCAGACATGCAGATGACACCGTGATTATGGCAAGCTCTGCTGAACAACTAGAATTACTGCTAAACAAAACAAACAGTTTCTGTGAAAAATATGGACTAACAATGAATATAAAAAAGACCAAATACATGATAATAACAAAAAAACAAATATATCAACAAACATATATTTAGAAAATGTACCGATAGAAAGGGTTGATAAATACAAATACCTAGGAACCTGGATTTCAGACAATAATGATCAAACAACCGAAATAAGAGTCAGGAGAGAAATAGCAAGAAATGCGTTTGTAAAAATGAAAACAATTCTCTGCAACAAAGACCTTAGATTAGAACTGAGAGTAAGAGCACTGAGATGCTACGTATTTTCTATACTGCAATATGGACTTAAAAGCTGGACATTGAAGCAAGAACACATAAATAATTTACAGTCCTTTAAAATGTGGTGTTACAGGAGGATGCTTAGAATAGCATGGACACAGAAGAAAACTAAAAAGGAAGTATTGCGAGAAATGGGCAAAGAATTCAAATAAACACAATAAAAATAAGAAAGTTACAATATCTGAGACACGTAATGAGGGGACAGCGATATGAACTGCTAAGGCTGATAATACAGGGAAAGATAAGAGGAGGAAGGAGAGTGTCATGGTTAAAGAATTTAAGGGACTGGTTTTAAATGCAGTTCTATAGAATTCTTCAGAGTAGCAGTAGATAGAGTAAATATAGCGATGATGATATCCAACCTCTAATTGAGGGACGGCACTTAAAGAAGAAGAAGAAGTAGTCTTACGGTCATGGTTGCATTATTGTATATATTTGCGATCAGTTTGAAGTACCGATAATCTATGCGACTTTCCTCTAACGCTCTCATTACGATATTAATTTCTATCGTATCGAATGCTTTGCGAAAGTCTACAAAAGCCAAGACCAATGGTCGGTTTTATTCAATTGATTTTTTTATAGTGTAAGTGGACGTTGGTGACAAAGTTCTTCCTAAAACCTGGCTGTTCCCTAGGTTGGTAAAATCTAATTTTGTTTCCAGTCTATTTGTTATTCGTGTGAACAACTAATAGATGTGGTTTAACAGCCTTATAGGTCGGTAATTCTTGAGATCTGTTGGATTGCTCTTAGTGTCCAATCAAATAGTAAGTGCACTATGTCATTTTGTAAGTGTTTCACTTTGGTGCAGACATAAGTTGAACAATCTCTTTATATTCTCAAAAAGTATGTCTCCTCCAATCTTTGGATGATATGTCCATTTTTTAATTTCATTATTTTTGTTTGCATTTATCAATTTTCTCCTTAGAACTTTAAGACTTGATATTTTTAATCGTTTGTTGGATTTGTTCACTTTTATGCTTTCGGTTGTCCATCTTAATAGATTTTTGTATTCTTTTGCTTATCTAAGTTCATGATGTTCTTTGCTTCTATCACTTTGCATTTTTCTCATCTCTTTCATAAATGCTTGTGTTTGGGAACTTGTTCTTTCGTTATATGATTTCTTTTGACAGTGTAGCTTCTGGCTTTCCTATATAGCTTCTATTATAATGGTTGTCTATCTGGTTATCTATTCTTACTGCTTTCAAGAATGCTGTTGATGTGTTCTTCAAACTTCAAATGCATTTCTTTTTGAGCATGCGGTATCTCTGTTTCCAAGGTCTATTTCTATTAACCCTTTCACTATTTTGTGGTCTCTACCTATCTGTTGAAAACTGGTTCAGGACTATAACATCTTTAAAGGTGTGCATCTTGCCAGTGATGACAAAATCGATCTTGTTACTAGTTTCTCCATTCGGGTTCTGCCACGTCCATCTCTTCCGGTGTTCTTTTTTGTAGAAGAATCTGTTCATTTGAAATAGATTTATTTATCCTGTATAATATTTGTATATTAAAAACTCCTAGCATCACTAAACTGTGGTAAATGCTATAACACAATATTCTTCACTTCTTTATTTTTCATTATTCAAATACCTACTATTGTTTTCAGTGTAAATGTTCAAATATCGAAGCATTTAACGACAAACAGACGAAAGAAGAATACGATACAGGTAACTTTTATAATAATTGGAATATCGACTATCGGAGCCAAGTCAGAAAACAATATGGACACTACAAAGAACAAAGGTGTTGTTCTAACGATATAACACTTGATGCACAGCGTGCATGCTGTGGTTGTGAATATAAATCTAGATCTGAAGACAAACAAAACGAGGTAGGTACATTATTTTTTCAACAGTTGCATAATAACAATTAATTTTTCTCTTCTTTCGCTGATTTCTCATATTTATTATGAGAAAATAACACCACTTCCTATTTTTAATAAAAAGGCTAAATTAGCCTTTTATAAATAATAATGAGAAAAGCAAACAAAGCACGTCTATAAAACCAACCCTCAAAGAGGCAAGCAAAAAAAATATCTCATTATTTATAAATTGTTGTGGATAATGCTGAGTATTATATGGCCAACCAAGTGATATGGACGAGAGAAGATATGAAACAAACTATCCTTCTGTATTTACTAAATAGAACCACTTGATGTGATACTTCCATCACATTTCTAACATATTCCATACACGTCCAGATTATCTTATACCGTTTTTATTAACTTACACTTCAAAACCAGGCAATTCCTCAAATCTAATCCTGACTTGGTAGTTACCAAAGCAGACAAAGGAAACGTCACTGTTATGACAGGATCTACAACTCTGTTCCTCACTCTTAGATAATGATGGATCCTACATATCGATTTCTTCTGACCCTACCACCTCTCTACAAAAAATGGAATGCACTATTTGCATCTTTGGCGGCTCCAAAAGAAATTGATAATAACACTCAGAAGATTCTCTTCATCAAAAAATATTTTGATGACATCATCTCGGTTGTACCATCTGATGAAACTGATAAATTACTTAACACCTTCAACAGTTTTATCCCAAAAATCCAACTTACTATCGAGAGAGAATATACTAACTTTTCAATACCCTTTCCAGATATTCGGCTGATAAGAGATACAAATAATATTATTAAAATTGATTAGTGTTTGAAACCTACTCATTCAGGAAGGTATTTAAATTATAATTCATATCACAAACACTCCTCCAAAGTCAACTTAGTAAAACAAATGAAAATCAAAATCATCAAATTATCAGATCCCTTATTCCATAACATAATTAAAGACTTTTAAATGCTAAACAACTTATTTATCACCAATTCCTACCCAAACACATGAAGATCTTGTTAAACACAGACCATAATGAAGACTTAACACCTTCCTCATAATAACACTGTTGATCCTGATGGCTGCAGCAGTGACAGAGTCTCTAATATTCCAACTTTAAACAGATATTTCTCAATGCCTTATATCAAGATATTACTCCAGGGTTTATTAGGATACGGAATAATTTAGAAAATAAAGAGTAATAATAATAATCGTTTTAAAATTATTGTGGTTCATAGATCAGCTTTAAAAATAAACAACCTTTTTTTTTAAATCAAAGATTAAACAGAAGAAGATAGGTTGAGTAATATTGTCAATAGCATTCCCTGTTCTTCGTGTGATAAGACGTACATTGGCCAAACTTCTCAACTACTAACAACTAGAATCACTCTCCAGAAAAGTGATGCACGCCTTCATCCAGAATGTTGTGCGTTAGCTAAACACGTCTATTCTACAGGACGTTCATTCCATGGATTTTTATAATACCACCATTATTCACCCTGAGAATAACAAATTCAAAAGGTAAAGTAAATTACAATTTACTTGTTTGTATTTTGTATATTGAATAATATTTGTATTTTGAGAACTATTTCCGAGGTGGAAATTGAAACGTCAATAAACTTACTTTAACTTTTAATTGTGGCTTATTACCATTTAAATAGTAATTACTTTAAAATGCCACAAGAAAATAGCTTCATAGTAATATGAAGTATTAACACCGTAAAAAAAGGTGTGTGGAACTCAGAAAGTTACCGACACAAGCGACGATTTGTCTTTACCGAAGAAAAGTGATTAAAAAAAAACATATTGTGAAGTCGGTTCGCTAATCCCAGTCCCAACTTTCTAGCGAATTTATTAAATATTTTTTTTTGCTAAGTTATAGTTATATTTTGACAGACTAGAAGTAGGTAACTGGACATTTCTACCCAAATCAAGCATACGTACTCATAGCCAATATTTACTGTTATACTGTTAACAAACATTAATTTACTCACATGCAACTTATTAACAAAACAAAGCTATATAAATTAAAACAATAAATCAAAAGTTTAATGTTTTTACAATAAAATTTGTATAATCGTTTATAGATTTGTACATACAAATAGAAAAATTACTATTTCGAAAATAGTTTTTGTAAATAAAAGTATAATAAATAAGATAAAATTTTAACAATAATTACCTCCATTCAATATTTATTTATTTACAAAATATTTTGACGAAATAAATTCCACAAAATTAGCAGTCAATCAGAAAAGGTTCATGCAGGCGCTTGGGGTTCAAACACTAAGTTTTTACTTTTTTAAAAATTTGAAATTATGCAGATATTATATCGTTTTGCTTTAAATCAAAAAACATTTATTTCAGTCTTTATTATAAGTGTTTATAGTAAAACATGAAAATCTTATTGAAAAAACAATGTCGTACTTTCGAAAATAAAGTAAAAATTCTTCAAACATAAAAGAACGTTCTAAATAAATGTACTTACAAAAAATGTTTAAATAAGTAGAAATTCTATAAAAATATTCTAAATAAACGTATTTTATTCTAATGAAATGTATTTACAAAAAATGTTCGAATAGGGCTCCATTAGCAGCAGAACAATAACCCAATCTATTATAAAAGTTTCGTCTAACATTAGTTAATGTTTCTGGACTAATACCTCTCATTGAATCAGAGATCTTTTCTCTTAATTCTTGGAGAGAATTAGGCCTATCGTCTTTAATTCCATATAGTTTGAACTTGATATATCCCCACATAAAAAAATCACAAGGTGCAAGATCAGGTGATCTTGTAGGCCACATGATGTGACATTTCCATTGCAGTTTAACAAAATTCTAAACGTCTATATTGATCCCCAGGGAATTGTTCGTTGGATTTACGAAGTTTATAGGTACGGTATCCATGTCTTTTCAAAATTTTACCAACTCTAAATCTTGAAATTCCATATTGTTCTCCGAGACGAGATGTTGATTGGGTAGGATTTTGCTCAATACTTGCACAAATCAAAGTATCCCTTAGTTCCAAATCTGGATTTACCTTACTTCGTCTACGAACTCCTCTTGGAGCGAACACGGATCCATAAGTAAAAAAATTACGTATAATAGATTGAATTGTTGATCGTGCTGGAGCCGGCCTATTTGGAAACATATTTACAAATTGTTGTCTAATCATGTTATCTGAGAATTCATTCACAAGCCAGACAACAATTTGCAGTTTTTCCTCACCATTAAAACCATTTTCACGAATTGTTTTTTCAATAAAAAGTTTCTGTTAACCGTGCAAAAACACTTCTCGATATGTTATTATTTGATGGCTTAAAGGCTTCGCTTCGCGCGCATCCATTCCAATGTCAATTGTTTTGAAAATCATTACCTGTACAGAGGAACTGATATTAACACTGAGAATTTAGTGATGGATTTGACATAAACAGGCATTAAAGTCATAAACAGATTTATTTTGTATTTCCGTTTTATAACATTGACATAAGAATAAATTGTAAATAATGAGTTAGTCAAAAACTTGTTACCTAATATGTATCATATTTTCTATTATTTTTTGATTGAGTAAAAGAAAAATTTTATCCTAGGTGTGAATTGAACCCCAATCTCCTTGTTAATAGACCAAGTCTCTAACTATTACACCAATTCCACATACAATAATTGTTTTCGGACAGGATATACCTACCTTTAGTTTAGTCAAATATTTAAGTTTAGTTATTTTTATTATTAAATAAACTTAAAGATTTATAATTTAAAATCGTTACTAATTAATGTTTTTTACTATAATATATCTTAATTTATTCAATCATTTATTCTAGCATCTGAAATTATTAAAAAATATATTTTCGAGGTCATCCGTATAATTATGACTGAAATCAAATAGCCACGTCTAAGAACTAGCTTTATCTCGTATTATCTCACAAATTACTGTGTCTTGTATCCTTTCTGCTATTTTGCAGAAATAAAAATTTGCCGGTTTGAAAGCAACTTTAAACACTTCTAATACTAGTTAGCTCGAAGCTAACGTCTAAAGGTGTGAGATTATCGATAGTGGTACTATAATGTAATGTAAATTATAGATTTGTATCGATTATTTCCCACCTCTACGAGTTTCATCTCTTTTTATTTGACAAGGTAACTGTTTTTTCTATCTCTTACGTTAAAAAGCCGGGTGGTAAGGCACTCACCACTGTATAAACCGAAAGTTTATTACCGGGGCCACCAATTAATTCAGCACTTGTTTTTATCTGATTACAGCATGGCACATAATATATGAACCATCACCTAAAAAGAACTTGGCAACTACATATGCTTTATGCTATTTACTTTGTCCACAGTTGAATACTGCCCAAGTAAAGGTCTAATTTTCTTGTTGTAACCGCCTTATATTAACCACAAACTACGTTTTATTTTTGGGGAATTTTTTTGACCCTTTAAAATAAAACCCATCCTTAGAATGTGACTAGTTCATCATACAAAACCCTGCTTGATTCATAACAATCTATAAAAAAACGAGATTTTTTTGCTGCACCTCTTGACGGTTCTTTATGATTATTAATTAGTTATGCCATTTTACTGCACGTAATTTAGTAGATCCAATGGACTTAGATTTCACTATTTACACTCTTTACTATTCGACCCGAGATTGTATTACATGACTTGGAAGTTCTGGACTATTTCTTATCTTTGCAAAGAATCGGAGTCAAACATTCTAAGTACTAGGTAAATATTATATCATTTAAGCTAAAAGGTCAGAATTTTCTTCATTCGGCCTTTATATTAATGCTTTTATATGTTGTTTAATTTTTGGTGTTTAATTTAAGATATATCATAATTCTTATTCTATCTAATTATATTTTTATAAATATTTAAGATACCTAACGTAACAGGATGTTGTTTTGGATACCAGCCAGGCATATTAAAACTGATTCCTCCTCCAGATGAAAATCCATGCGGCCCCTGGTGCGCGGAGTTAAAATTACCGAGGCCAGGTAGTACCGTTCGCAAAGATAGAAAAAAAGAAAATAAAAATGAATCTAAAACTTGTCTAAGACCATGTTGTAAACATTGGAAATCTAAAGAGGGGGAATGCAAATATGATTTACCTTGCAAAGCTCACTGTTATAACCACCCAGTAGGAATGAAACCAAAATACCACGTACCAACAAGTAAGCTTTACAATCATTATTAGTTATACGTTATAAAAAAAGAATAACTTTAATACTATTTTTTGGAATATACTTAAAGCGTATTTAAACGTATTTAAAGGATGCCCCTTTTCGTGCATTGCTACGTACACTATTTACGTTTATGAGACAACTTACATAACAGCGCAATAGCAATAGTAATTAATTGTCTTAATAAATACGTTGCATTTTTTGAAGTGTATAATTGGAATTATACAAAATACAAAAATATATAACCAATCATTATTTATAATTACAAAAAAATAAATCTGACTCAAAACAACTACGAAGTTTTGAAAATAAAATTCACTATTGTATCATAAAGAGCAATATTGAAAAAACATGTCATACTTAAATTCTTTAAATTTAATTTTTTTACAGCAAAAATATCGCAGATTTCATTGATGAATCGTCCATTCAAAATCCTATGGAACTTTCATTGCTTCTTAGGACAGTCTGTACACCTCTAAGCATGCTAAAAACTAGTAATGGTATATATTGTTCAAATTTTCTCCCTTACGCGCCCCTAAATGAGAATTACGAAAATTAAGTTATGGTTTAAGATGATCCCAAATTTGTCAGATCCTATTACAGTCTAACAACGCCTAGTCACATCAATACTGCTCAAAATTATACAAAGACATTTCAAAAGATGCATCCGACTGTCATTGTTTTAAATAATGCCATAAACTCATTACTCTTCATCAGTGTGAAACTATTTTAAAGAGTTTTATGAACTGATCAATCATGATTTACAAATATCTTACTTATGCGGCCAAATAAAACTTTAAAATTAACCAATACTGCTCAAAGTGACTCCAGAAAATACACAAGACGATATTATTTGTCAAGAGAAATAGGCTGGATATTCCAGTTTGCAAGAAGTTCTTTAAAAAAGTCTTGAGACTTTCAGATGGTCGACTTATACGTGCTTTGTGAAATAAAAACCAAGGTGTACACCTTCTAAGGATGGAAGAGAGAAAAAGAAGCCTCATAATAAAACAAATCAAGAAATACTTGACAATATTTTTCATTTTATTTCGAGGTTCCCAATATATCAGTTATATATATATATATATATATATATATATATATATATATATATATATATTATTCTAGAAAAAAAATCTCAATATTTGTTATTTGGCTCCTACTTTAAATCGGTCGTCCCGATAATTCATTTTCGACTTTTAAACTTTCTGCTTTTCTGGACCACGCAGGAGTTCGATCATTATTTAATATAATAAATCAAATACTTAATATAATTTATAATTTAATAATAACTTTCTTTTTATTACAGTTGATTACGACCTTTTAAGAGACCTTGGAGAATGCATGGATTTAAAATAATACAAGCTTATATATAATAGAGAAAACAACGAAACACTAATTACTTGAAGCAGTTATTCTATAATTTTTTATAATTTACAACACTACCAAATTGCCCAAAACTTTAACCAGTACTTAAAATATTCAAGAATAAATTATATAATTGAAACTAGTTTCGTCTATTTTTTTTAATTTATATAACTTGTTAAATAATCAACTATCATGGACGTATAAACACAGATGGACTCAGTTATTTACATAAAATTGTGAAGTCAAAATTATTTGAATAGGTCACATTCTCAGCACCTTCAACTGTTGTCACGTTTTTTTATTAAAATTTCTTATTCGCGAGTCGCTGAAAATATTACCCCGTATTTTATACTCTACAGGTGCTATAAAACCAAAATAATAATTTATTGGTTATATTAATATATTTAATTGTAATCAAAATATCAAGTGTGCATTATTATTTAATAATAGCGTATAATAGATATCAATAAATTATTTTATATGTAGAAGCACTGAAAACTATTTATAAATGGCAACGGTGTTTACATTTCTCTCTCTTATGGCTCTACGTCAAACTTCAAATGCTGTTCCATGTTTGTTTACTTTTTAAAGCAGATGAGGAAAAGTTGTTTTTCGATATTTTGGCTGTATTTTGAGTGATATTTGTGAAAAGTGAAATAAAATAAACGAAATATTTACATACCGATCTCTCATTTCATTTGTAAGTACTGTCTTTTTACATTATTTAAGATGAGGATCTGAGGAAGTGTGTTTGTTTACATTTTAATAGGCGTATCATTGGGTTTATTCATGTTAATTAATGTATTAAATAAGATATGAGTTGCATGTCACACGGCAAGAATGGAATTGTCTACTCTATAGAGGAAAAAACCGAGGTGATGAAGACTTATCTCTCTCTCTCTCTCTCTCTCTCCCTCTGCACATAGAGAGAGAGAGAGAGTACACAAAATTGTCACCACCATGAAGATATAGACTTCATAGAGGCGTCGAAGAACAACGAGAAAAGCCCGAGGAACCTAAAGAAATCATCCCTCCAACATCACTGGAATAGATAAACGAACTATCAAAACCAGTTCAGGAAGGAAAGCACCTGGACCAGACCAGTTCACAAATAGGGTTCTGAAATATTTACCGACAAAGCCATATTATTTCTAACATAGTGAATGCGATGCTAAGATATAATCTCTTCACAAATCGATGGAAGTAGGCCCATATCATTATAATACCAAAACCAGCAAAGGAAAACACGTTGCCACAAAACTACAGGCCGGTAAGCTTACACCTAGCAATCAGCAATATTGTAGAAAGAGTCATCCTCAGCAGACTCAAAGCAAAAACTGACAGGCTAAGAATAATACCTGAGGCACAATTTGGATTCCGATCAGAACACTCCAGGCTAAAATAGTACACAGCAGGTGGATTTAACGACAAACAATACGCAGTAGCAGCCTTCCTGGACAGAAGCGAAGCTTTCGTTAGAGTCTGACATTAAGTTCTAATCTATCAAATATCAGAATATGGATACAGTAGAGAAATGACAAGACTAATCTCTTCGTACTTGAGCAACCGGAGCTTCAGAGATCGGATAGGACAAGTCCTCATCGAACAATCAGCATCAGTTTTTGATCATCATGATCAAAGCTACCTCTGCAAAGTTTCAGTCAATTTAACTAAAACACTTTTACGTAATAAGTAAATAAAAAATACGCCAGGAATATGTGCACGAATACAACTAATGAGGTTGATAGTTGAATCTTAAGTCACGTTTTATGGTGTCATTTTGAACATGTTTTGTAGCATTGTGCCTCAGTTTTTAAGAAAAATTTCAACACCTCGTATCTCGGAAAACAAAGCATTTGCGGATATACATTTATATAACAAACTGTCATTATTTTTGCATGCACACTTACTCCTTGAAGTTTGTTGTACTTATTTACTAACACTTTATATATTATACAAATATATATTATTCAAATGGAGAACCTTTGTAACTCGAAACAATTGATTTCTGAGTTTTGGGACACTGATAACTTTTGATCAGCCTGGTCGAAGCTACGTATGTGCGCAAAGTTTCGGCCAATTTAATTGAAACCACTTTAACATTGCCAGGGTCCAAATTAATCTTTCTTTTCTGGTAAAACTATGATAACCTTTTCCATTTTTTAATGTTTTTGAACATCTTTTATTGCAATCCGTGTCATATTAGAAGTAATATTTTAGTATTCTATAGAAATAATCCTTTCTAAATGGTCTACACCAGGGTTGTCCAACTGGCGGCCCGCGGGCCGCATCCGCTATTTGCTGAGAGGCTATTTGTTGAGACCCACGTAAGATTTTCGAAAAGCATATATTTTCTGTAAATGCTGCCACTGTGAAAAATTGTTTTTTAATTTATTTTATATTTTATGGTTTAGCAGTGTTTTTACATCACAAGTACTGTACCGCGTGCCGCTTCGCGGACGTGTAACGAACACAATCGTCCTCTACCACTATGAGAACTTCACTGATTACTGAGCATCACAGTTCACGCAGGCCACACCTCCCACTGCTTACCATCCGTCGCCAGCGGCCAGCCGCCATCATGCCAGTGTGCTACTGACACGTAGGCTAGTCGGTTAATCTATTACGTTGCTATAACAGTGAACAGTGAACTTATAGTGAACAGTGAACTTGATAAATTCTTTGTCTTGATTCCTTTTATACACTAATGAGTAAAAGGGAAAATTGATAGTGAGAACAGAATTTACAAAGAAAGTTGGGAGAGTGATTACTTGATTGCTAACAATAATGGAAAGTTGCAGTGCTTAGTGTGCATGATTGTCGTTTCAGTGCCTAAAGAATATAATGTGAGAAGACATTACACAACAGTGCATGAAAATAAGTATGCTACGTACACAAATGAAAGTCGGCGTGCCCTAGTTGTAGATTTGAAGAAAAAGCTTAAACAGCAAACTGGTATGTTCAGTAAAATATTACACTCGCAAACGCATTCTTTGCATGCATCTTATGCCGTGTCGCTTGAGATGGCAAAGGCAAAAAACCTTTCACTGATGGCAATTTGATAAAAAAATGTGCTGTTGAAATGGCCAAAGCTTTCGGTGATTCTAAAATGGCGGAGAAATTTGAATCAGTGCCACTTTCACATCAAACCATACAAAGAAGGATTGTTGCGATGGGTGAGCAAGTAGAAAAATCTATGCTTAGCCTGGTTAAGAAAAGTTTGGATGAAAGCACTGATTAAACCGATATTAGTCAGCTGTTAATATTTGTGCGCACTACTTTTGATGATTTTACCAGTAAATAGGAGTTATTTGATATTTGTCCTCTTTATGGAACAACAAAAGGAAAAGACATCTATGAGGCTGTGAAGAAAACAAAGTTGACAGAATTGGAGGCTTTTATAAATGTTCAGCCATAGCAACAGACGGGACCTCATCAATGACAGGTAAAAAAATTGGATTAGTGGGTCTGCTTCGAGAGAATGGTGTCACTTGTCCAACAATTCATTGTACGATACATCATTATGTGGAAAATCAGTCAAGGAAGATCAAGTTTTTCAAACCGTGATTAAGATTATAAATATGATTAGAGGTGGAAATCGATCTCTCTTACACAGGCAACTTAAGCAGTTTTTAGTGAAAACAGAGGCTGAGTATGGAGACTTGCTAATGTACAGCCATGTAAGGTGGCTGAGTTATCTGTTATAAAAGCTAAGACAGTTAGCTTTTATAACAGATCTGACTAATCATCTTAACATGTTAAACTTGAGTCTTCAAGGAAGAAACCAGACGGTTTCAGATTTGATCGGAATGATAAACGGATTCCTGAATAAGCTGAACGTGTTTAAACGTGCTTTGGAAAAGAACAACCTGACACACTTTTCTAGCTGTCTGCAAATAGCAGAAGAATTCAACGGTGAGGAAAATATTGAGTTTTCATCCTGCACTTCACAAATTGAACAAGTTATTGATGAATTCAATACAAGATTTGAAGAAATTGAAAGTCTCAAAAGCAGTGTATTACTTTATAATAACCCTCTTGGAGCAACCATTGATAATCAACCATCCAACTTACAGCTTGAGTTATGTGATCTTCAAGCAGACATGTTCCTAATCACCAGACAAGATAAGGAACCTGAATTTTTCAAATTACTGTCAAAGGAGAAATTCCCAAACCTGAGAGGTTTTGGACTGAAAATGACGTCAATGTTCGAAAGCACATATACATGCCACATATCCGTGCCTTTTCCACCATGAAATACATAAAAAATAAAAACATAAGTAACCTTACCGATTCTTCCTTACGTCATCTTATGAGAGTGTCTACAACTGACCTGGAGGTGGACATTTCTTCATTGGGTGATGATGCCGATCGACCACAGTCCTCACACTAATTGGATACATCTTTTTTGTTGTTTTTGCAATGTTTGTCTTGATTATTGAAAAGTGTTATCAATAAATTTTCCGTTTATAAAAAAATATAGTTGTTGAGCAATAAAAGAAATAATACTCTTTTTTGTTTTAATTATTTTTATACCTCACTTTATTTTGTTATTACTTGTAACAAAATTATTATATGGCCCGCGACAACATCAAAGGTTTTAATTTTGGTCCTTGAGGCATTGCAAGATGGACACCCCTGGTCTACACCATCGAAAGCTTCTTGCTGATAAACCTGCTGTTTTAAGTAATTCCACAACAAAAAGTCCAGAGGGGTCAAATCAAGAGACCTGGGAGGCCAAAAAATATCTGATTACCTGTGAATCACCTTTCCATTAAACAATTTCAACGAGTATTCTAACGTTTAAAGTAGTATGAATGAAGGCATTGTCTAGTTGAAATCAAATTTTCATACGTTCATGTAACGAAAGTTCGTCAGTAAAGTAAGTCACTTACTTACTTTTCTGATAATTGTAAATAATGGGCGGCATTTAAGAATTTCGAAAAAAAAATACAAAATTTGGATTACTCTTGACCATTAGCGACGATTTTGAGATGAGACGGTTCCGTTGGAAGTAATATCCAACGGAACCGTTATTTTTTTCCGTTGCCTCATCGGAAAAAAATAACCTAATTAAACTCTCCTTGGATCAAACGTAACATTCAAATCGATTATTGTAATCCCTTGGTAGCAATGTGTGTACGAATTGCAGTTTTTATGCATAATGTTTATGAAATTTTCAAATATTTACCAACGTCTCTTTATTTAGCGAATTATTTGTGATTAAAATAGCTTTTTGCTTAAGGACATTTTACACATCACTCCTGAATAAAATAGATATTTTTTAAAAACCCCGTTTATAGTTTAAAAACTTGACATCTAATGGTTGCATGTTTTGGACCATGCATAACTTTTCATCAAGAAAAAAAATTTTACAGAAGTAATAATAAAAAAGTTTTCCATATGGTGCCAATTTAAGTAGACACACTATATATATATATATATATATATATATATATATATATATATATATATATATATATTATATATATATATATGAAAAAGCTTTTGATATAACCATAGCATATTAAAACCATAAAAAATCTCTATATGTCTAGCTAAGTTCAAGCAAAAGATGGCACGCCTTAAAACTAAGACTGACTCATATGTCATGGTGGTTAACAGCAAATGTTTCTTATACTATCATGTTCCTTTTTACGCTGTGTGACTGTGTACTGCGTGTGACTCTCTATTTACCTATAGCAGTATATGCAGTAACTTTCTTTTTAATATTATTGTTTGAAATTGATCATTAGGACAATGTAGGGTAACTGTCTCAATATTTTTAAGTACAGTTCGTTTTAACATCACAGATAAATAACAGAAAGTGTTTCTTTTATAGTACCTTTAATGATCCTTAAATATACTGTACACTTGGCAATTGGAATAAAACCATTTCTTCCATAACATAATATAAAGGACTTAAAAACTAAAACTCCAACCAATGGTAGGTTGCTTCGGTCATAAAAAATAAATTTATATACAAACAGTTTTTCGTACATTTAACAGTCTACGTTGCTTTTAAAATTTTAATACTAATACTTTAAACTACATATTTACACCTCTTCATTCTTATTATTTTTTTTAGTACAATCTTAATAAGGAAAAATAATATTAAATAGATACACCATTACTATTTAATCGATCGTCTTCACCTAAACGATAGTTTCCACACCATTAGAGAAGAATATATAGATTCTTTCAGAACTACAAAGGGGCCACATCAGGTAAGCTTATACTGGAAAAAATACAAAATGGTTTTTGGGTCACCACAACAAAACGTACAAGATCGTATGCCGCTTGTATTGTTTCGTGATAAGAAACGTCACTAGTACGGAATAGAATCCCAAGATCATTGCTGTCTACATGGAAACAATGAGCGTCTTACCGTTGAGAACATCATAATTGTTTTAACTTAGGACATCTCTGTGTTATGCATTAAAGTTATAAATGTCATAACACTGGGAATATTGTACCGCTTTCAATCCAAGAGTTTATGACCGAAATTGAAAACCAAATAAAAAACTTATCTTAATCCTTTGAATACGCGCGGGTTCGAACCTAAGTCATTTTCGTGACAGTGATTGAAACCGTAAGTACCTTAAGCCGAAAACACTCTGTGGATTAGAACCACAGATATCTGCAGGAACTAAGTTTAAACGACAAACATCTTCACGCTGGATTTGGATTCGAACCCAACGGCGTCTTGGTAACGGTGGCTACATAATGCAATACTTGTATAATGCGTTTTGTGGATGATACACAATGTACCAAGAGTTAACATAAATTATTACAGTCAATTATATCCAAAACATGAAACAGAGTGTGACAAAAGAATGGATTTAGCATCAGCGACAAGAAGATATCCAGTTTTGTTAAATTTTTCCAAAAGAAAGAGAAGGTATATAAACATATATTTCTAATATTACCAATAAACTGTACAATTTTGTGTATCAAAACTATTCAACGTCCCACTAAAGTCCCGGCATGATAAACGCAACATTATCGAGAGTGCTCATTAACTCTTCTGGAGTACAACAATTTTCCTGCAGCTCGGGGATCTGTTGTGTGAGACAAAGTAGAGGTCCCAATGCGCACAAAAGGGAATCCAGGAGAACTGATAAACTTCCTGATACAGCAATTTGTCCCTAAAAGCAAGCAAATAAATCTTTAGACAGTTTTTTAATATTTTATAACAATATAATAATACATAATATTTTCAAGTGGACTTATTTATTGTTTAAACTTGTAATGTGCAACTAGCAATAACTGAATATTAACAATTAGTAAATTTATGAAGAGTTAAGTTAAGTAAATTGGTTTATAAAATTATATAAAGTGTTTTGGGTAAAAAGAGTTTACCTCATGCTCTTTGAGACGCTCTCCTATAATAGTCAAACTTTCGCCTAGAAGTTTCAAATGGGCAGCAACGTCTATTGGCTTAATACCGTTTACTTTAAATGGTGAGTCCTTTCCTCGAGGACTAGGTGGTGAAACGTTGATATTTTCGTAGTTCGGTAATCCAAGCTGAAAAGGTTGTAGAGGACCAGGAGGAGTTTTGTTCGGCACTGTCTTCTTACTGAAAGTTTTCATGGGGGTTTTCGACGATGCTAGTGACTTAGTGAAATTTGAAAATGTATCTATAAAAAAGACAGTATTATGTGTCAATATTTTATTTTTATAAGTTTACACAGATACAGATAAACTAAAATCTAATACAGAATATAAAAACAAGTTAAAACCCGCGAAAGTATTAAATCTAAATAAGCTTAGCTTAAATGGAATCAATTAAGTCATAACAAAAGAACTATTAAATGCAAGCTCAAAAGTGGCAACCGCTAACAGAAAACGAAAATCCAAAATAAATGTAGAATCACAAAACATGCTGAAACAAAGAAACGATCTTCTGAAACAAAATAAAGGAGACACTGCATATTTTAAGGTACTTAATCGAGTAATAAGAAAACAGATAAAAGATGACATTAAAAAACATCAAGAAGGCCGTATAGAACAAATCATAGAGAAAAACCGAAGTTTCAAATGCACCAAATCGAAACTAGGGAAGAAAAACATAATAACCATTAAAAATGAACAAGAACTAGAAAAAAGTAAATCTGATACTGCAAACTTAAATGAAAAGTTCTACGCCGATCTGTACCGTTCCAGAAACGATCCCTTTAACACCACAAAGCAGAACTTGAAAAGGCAGATAACAAATGTCAACTCAGAAGTGATGCCCGAAATAAGGCACGAAGAAATAGAAACAGCAGTAAAAGAAATGAAAAGGAATAAAGCTCTTGGAAACGATGGAATTCTAGCAGAAATGCTGAAGGAAGGCGGAGAAGTAGCCATCACATATCTAAAAATAATATTTAAAAAATGTCTATTCCAAGGCAACATACCCGAAAAATGGAATACTGCTAAAACAATACTAATACACAAAAAGGGAGACACCGCAGACCTGAAAAATTATCGACCAATTTCACTTCTTTCACAACTTTACAAAGATTATTACAAACAGGTAACAATTAAATTTGACGGATATCAACCAGTAGAACAAGCCGGATTTAGAAAAGGGTACAGCACCTGTGACCATCTATATACTTTAAAAATCCTAATAGAAAAGACTAACGAATACAATATCACATTATGTCTAGCTTTTATAGATTATAAAAAAGCTTTTGATATCGTAGAACTGTGGGCAATAATCAATCAATCAATCAATATTCTTTATTTCATCTGACTTTTACAAGTATTGAAATGCGTCAAAATACAATCTAAAAAACTATAGGTACATAGGTAGTAAAAAAAAGTAAAAACTATAAGCACAATCATAAAACATAAAATATACACAAAAACATACAAATTGTTAAAAAGATGCCTGCAAGTATTCCTCTGACGAATAGAAAGTGTTTGCCAGAAGTAATTTCTTAACTGTTTTCTTAAATATATAAAAATTTAACTCTTTAACATAATTAGGTAATTTATTATACAAACTAACGCATGTTGAGTAAGGACCCTTGCCCACAACAGTCAAGTGACGAGCAGGGGTCACCAAATCATTTCTGTAACGAAAATTGTAGCCACTCATTAAGGAAACATCATTTCTGCAAATAAAATTACATCTATGTGACTTTACATATTCAACACAACTGAAAATATACAGCGAAATTACAGTTAAAATATTTAATTGTTTAAAAATTGGTCTACAGGAATCCAAGCGCCTTCTAAACGTCATGGTACGAATAATTTTTTTTTGAAGAACAAGCACCTCATTAATACGCGAGCAATTTCCCCAACAAACTAAGCAATATTGCAAAATTGACTGTACATAAGCAAAATAGTAAAGTTTCAAGATTTCTAGGGAGACAAAATTCCTAAGTTGCCATAGAACATAACAGTGTACAGACAATCTTCCCACTACATAATCAACGTGAGAACTCCAAGACAAATTAGAATCCAGATAAACACCTAACAACTTGGTGGAGTGGCTATTTACCACAGACCCATTATCAAGCCTTACTAATGGACTCATCTTCATAGTAGAAGGTGAAAAGGTTACCATATTGGTCTTTGATCCATTTAATATTAGGGCATTATTTAAACAGTAAAGACTCATACTTTTTACAAGACAGTTTGCTTTTTGAACTACATGAGAAAAATCATTGGAATTTAGTGCAACTGTGGTATCGTCAGCAAATTGAGTGACGTAACAGCCTGATTGCTGTTCCTGATTGATAAAAGAAGCATTAGTCAACAACCGGATCGACTTCAGGTACAGAATATTAATACATCATATTTACGAACAAGCTGAAATGATAGTGACGTTGGGTAATGGAATCGAAACAAGACCAGTAAAAATCAACCGAAGAGTAAGACAAGGAGACACAATATCTCCAAAATTATTTACAGCTGCCCTAGAAGATATAACAAGTCAATAGACTGGGAAAATAAGGGAATCCCTATTAACGGAAGATACTTGAACCATCTTAGATACGCATATAATGTACTACTAATAGCTGACACGTTGAATGCACAGAATACGATGATTGAGGAGCTACACACAGAATCCCTAAAAAATTACCGAAAATGAATTTCAGCAAAACTAAACTAATGTCAAACAAAGATGACAAAGCTATGATAAACATCGAAAGGACAGAGATAGAACACGTAGATGAATATACATATCTGGGTCACAATGTCAAGGTAAGCAAAGAAAATCAAACTACCGAAATATGCAGACGTGTAAAAATGGGATGGGCAGCATTCGGAAGACTCTCATACGTACTTAAAAATAAAAATATCTCTCAAAGACTGCGAACCAAATTGTTTAATTCCTGTATCCTACCTGTACTTACATATGGAGCTCAAACCTGGACATTCACTAAAATAAACATGGAGAAGATCAGAAAAACTAAGAGAGCTATGGAACGACAGATGCTGCGTATCTCACTCAAAGAACGTAAAACCAATGAAGACATTCGTAATAGAACAACAGTAAAAGATGCTGTCGAACAGGCAGCTAAACTGAAATGGAAATGGGCTGGACATAACGAACGTCTTACGGATGGCCGATGGAATAAAGAAATCGGGAATTGGTGGACATATGAAGACCAAAACACCACGAGTAAGACTGTAAATGCGATGGAGCAACGATATTAAAAGAACTGCAGGGCCAATGTGGAAACGTCTTACAAACAACAGAGATAATGGATAAAATTAGGTCAATATTTTAACAAATATCTTATATTTTTCCGTTTTTCAATTGTTCAAAAGTATGGATCATTTATCGGTCTGGAAATATTCTCTAATATACAGTATCGGAAAGAATTTAAGGTGGGTATGTACTTTAAACGATATAGCGATACTAGTAGGTAGGGCTACCAAACCAATTCGTTCCTAATGTTTGTGTAATGCAGCGTTGCCAGGTCATCGAAGCCAGAAAATCGTATGCGGTTGTTCAAATTATCGCCTTTTATAGAACATATTATCCTATTTACTTCTATTGAACAATAAATTAACAAAGTATAAAAAGTAATATATTTAATTTTTTGTAAAAGAAACAAACCAAGAAAAATAAACAAATTATTTAAAAGAAAATAACTTAAAGTAAAAAGATTCACTATTCAGTTAATGTGAATTCAGCTTTTAGCAGTTCTTCATAAGCGTCTTTATTGTATAAATTGTTTGTACTCGTAGTTTTAACCATTATTTGTGACAATGTAAAGCTGACAAAACCCTTTTGAAGATAAAATGATTTGGATGAATGCATAATGACATATAAAGTGTGTGTTACCAAGCGGTTCCTGCACTTCATCTTTATTAAATTGTCTTTTACAACTTACATTTGAATGAGGTAAAGTTAAGACAGATAATCCAAAATTATTCAAATTAGCAAATGGAGAATGTTTTATTTGACTAACTTTAAAATATAATTCATCCAGATTTACATATTCTATTCTGGGATTGTTGGAGTTTCCTCCATTTGCCATTCCTTTTGCATTGTTTGTAGGTCTTGAGGATTACAAATGCGAGGTTTAACAAGTTGAATTTCTTGGATATAACTATAACTTATAATAAAGATTCTCTGGAGTACAATATTTACAAAAAACCTACTCAAACAGATCATTTTTGAGTAGGTACATTTAACCATCCAACCCAACATAAAATGGATGCTTTTAATTGTTATATTTATAGGCTTCTCAAATTTCCACTTTCTAATGAGAACTTCTAATTGTACTTGGTACTCTGACGCAAATTGCTTTCAATATAGTTACGATCCTAATATCTCTGCATAAGCTTCTCAATAGAGCAAAACTAAAACTTGCAGAAGAGCTTGATTATCCATCACAATGTTTGTTCGTCATCCCAATGCCACATTAGGTTTTTCTCGTTTACTTATATCAGTAAGTAACATTTCCAAAAAAAAATCAACTTTTACTTCTATAATTGAGGACATCAAAATATTTTTCAAGTCACACTTTAGGTTCCTTTTTAATTAACACCAAAGGCAGGATGAGCACTCTGGACAAGAGTGGTATTTATAAACTGAAATGTGATGATTGCGATGACTCTTAGTGTGCGTTCATAACGAGGCGCCAATCCTCTATCGGACCATAAGATGGTATCATATTATCATCGCTACGTACTGCATTTTAAATGCGAGCGTTCACTGTCAGTGCTATGCTCTAGGCGAGGATACGAGGCGATGGTCTCCGTAATGAATGCATCCTTATGTAGGTAGAACCATTCGGAAGTTGTCTACTAGAATTACAGAACATTTGAACAGACCAAAACTCTTCCATTTTTGGTTACCACTTTACTACTAACTGCCCAATAAACATAATTTTATTATCAATACAGGTTCATCTATTTTACGACATAAGTAGGAAGAAAAACTACTTGTAGTTGGACTTATTAGAAGATTAGGAAATTACAATGTAAACAAATGAAAACTCACACTGTCTTACTCAAATACTCAAATTAATTTAAATTGTACTAAATTTTAAACAATTTTTAAAAATTTTATTAAAGTTTCACCTTTTACATTTCCTATACTGAGTCTATATCTAGTAAGAGTTTTATTTATTTCATACTTTAATTAAATATTGACATTTAAATCATCAACAACTTGCTAAACAAGTTTGTTCGTGATCAATTGATTTACAGTTGGCGTAAATTACATTCTACATATCTTTTTGTAATTTAGATATACCATTTCCACAGTTGTATATTTTATCATCTACCACTATTGCTTAATTGGTCTTGAGTAATGCTATGATATTTTCAATTTTATAGATTTCCCATTGACGTTTACGTTTGACTGAACCGGAGGTATAACACTTAGTTCGCACACTTAGTTTTCAACTTTAATCTTTATTAATCTAAGTATTTCTTGCATTCAAACTGTGTATCCACTATATTGTCCCCAAACTAATCTGTATTTCTAGGTATTTCCATTTCGTCTTTTCTATAGTATTTCTTGCATTCACACTCTGTATCCACTATATTTGCCCCCAAACTAACACATCGGTTATTCTTAACAGGTTTTTTGAGTGTGAGATCTGGATTATAGAGTCTACATCTAGTAATCAATATAATTTCATATTTCATCTGGTGGCTTCTTCTATACTACTGGTCGGTTGTACTTATGGTTGATATTCAGGTTACGATAGAGTTTTTGAAATGTGCAGTACACTTTAATAATGACTGTCCCTCTTAACTGTCATATGTCAGATATCACTTTAACATTTCCGTTAAATCTGACCTACCAGGAGCCATTTTGTCTCCTGATATTGCCCACAATGTAGCATCCTAAACATTTTTTTAAACTATTTGTGTTTTTGTCTAATGTTCGTTATTTGTAGTGTACTTAAATGTCTATGACATTCGTTAATGTGCTGGATAGCCAAATTTTTTGACGAAATAAATCTAAAACGTTATATATTTTTTATCAGTCATCAACTTTTTTTGAAGTTTTTTTTGAAGTTTGCTACGTTTCTTTTACTTAAAAATCGTTTTTTGGTTTACTTCAAGCAAGATTTAATAAAAGAACTATGCTTGATATCTGTCTTTTATTTGAAAATTTCATGTTTGATTGACTATCGGAAGGCATTTTATCGCGTTGACCATCAAATGATGTTTAACGCATTGAATGGCGTTATTACACAACTCTACAGGTTATAGATGGCAATAGTCCAAGTAAAACAAACATCACCGGAAGATATGTGGATTAGACGATGAGTGAGGCAGAGCTGTGTCCTTTCCCAACTCTTGTTTAATCTGTACTCGGAATCTATATTTAAAGAAGCATTGGACTAGTCCAAAGGGGAATCAAGATCAACAGAACTACGACAGACAACATCGGGAACGCGGACGCTACCGTCCTAATAGCAAACAGTGGCCAGAGCTACAAAACATAAAACATTCCGTAGTCCATTATAGCGAAACGTTCGGCTTACATCTATACATATTCAAACCCTAAATGCTAGTCTTTTCAAAGATGCCAAAAAACACATATCTACATGACAAGGGTCAAAAAGTAGAAAAAATTACCACCATAAACCAAAAAAGACTTGATATCAAGAATTGAATAAGCGAGGAAAATATTCATAAGCATGTTGACATTTTTTTTACAAGATCAAACCAAAAAGAATAGAGGCCTTCGAAATGTATGTATACAGAAGGATACTGCAAATTTTGTGGACAGAAAAAAACACCAACTACGACCTTCTCCACCACATAAGTAAACAAAAAAAACTATTAAACACCATCAAAGAAAGAAAAATGCAGTACTTGGGTCATGTATTAAGAGGTGAAAGATACGAGCTACTTGGACTGATAATACAGAGTAAAATACAGGATAAAAGATCAGTAGTAAGACGTCAGAATTCATTGTTAAAGGACATGTGTGGTTTGACCGTTTATCTGAAAGAATATTTCGTGCTGCAGTTTCCAAAACTACGATTAGCAATTTTGATCGGCAACCTTCGGAGGGAAATGATACTAAAAAATAAAATAAGGAAATGCAAGGATAAATTCTTCTTGGGGAATAGAGGTATAAATCAATTCAAAAAATACAAAATAAATCTATCAAATAAAATCGTACCTTTGTCCTTTCCTTTTAGTTTGTCTGGTTTGATTATTTTACCATCTTTGATGACGAGCTTCTTTTTTGAGGAATTCGCATCTAATCTTCTGAAACCTTCATTATCTTCGTAATCACTATCAGATTCCACCGATTCGTCGATGCTGGATTCAGTAGCATTTGCATTCGGCTCGTACTCACTTGTATCAGAGCGACTATCATCCATATCGTAATTATCATCTTTCTGGTACATCTATATTATTAAAACAAAAGTATTTTTACAAAGAAGCGATAGTGCTTGTAAAAAATAAATGTATCTATACAGTGATACGGATATTTTAACTGGTTGCGCTTATTGCTGCACCCGCAATGGTCAGGGTTGTACTCTGACGCGACTAACATGTTTTTTAAATAATACTTAAAACTACGTAAAATTTTTAGATTAAGCAATGTACTGAGACGGATTTTTTGTAGTTTTGTAAAGTTTAATGTTTTAATTATAACCCCTTCTGTGGCTCAGTGGTAAGAGCGCCTACCTTTAAACCTAAAGGTCGTGAGTTCGAATGTCACCTGGGTGGATGAATGAAAATAATTTCTATCCTTGTGCGATCGGTACTCACTGGAGGGACCGCAGACGTTCGGATACAATTAGCGTCTCTTAGCAAAGACAATGACGTTGACTTTGCTAAGTAACAAGACAATTACTCTACACACACACACACTACACTCTACACTAGGTACCTGACTGTAAAAATTCACTGTACCATGCCAATGACCATTAGTTGTCGCATTAAACTCAATAAAAAAAAAGTTTTAATTATTGTAATTAAATTTATTCTTATTGTAAAAATTTCACATAATATGAAATTTAGTTTTAATTTTATGAAAATTATACAATTTTTGATTGTGATTGAGTTTGAAACTTTCACGTTGAAAATGAAAGATAAATAATGTAAAGATTTATTAATAAAATAATAATATTTATTGACATACTTATTCAAAGAAAATTATAATGATAGAAATAGGGATTTGTTTGGAAATGAAAAATGTTTAGTGAGTGACATTTGGAGGGTTCACAATAGAAGTGAAACAAGTCCACTGTTTGTCATTTACGAGTTAACAACGCTATAACATGCACCAAACAGGTAACTTTTCAGGGTAATAATGAACCAAGTCCTGTTCTAATAATATCCGCTATGCAGCAGCAAGTTCTGGTGTTTACTGACAGATTTTTATTTTCTGTCAGAATACTGAACCAATTCCAGGTAGTGTTTGTTTACTGTGTATAGTTCTGTGTTAACGTGCTTTAAACAGTTTATTACACATTATTTTTGTTGGCTAGATGTATTATGCGATGGCTATTTCATCTGGATCAGAAGAAGAGTGTTTGCTAGACAAATTTGATACAGGTAAGTACAATGTTGACGAGTACAACAACTAAGCTTGACGAATACCAAGCAAGAGAACAAGCGGGATTCAGAAAGGGTTTTAGTACTAGCGACCATCAGCTAAAAGTAAAAATACTGATTGAAAAGTCGAACGAGTATCAAATCCCATTATACATGGCATTCATAGACTTCCGAAAGGCGTTTGACAGCATAGAACATTAGGCCATCAAAAACTCACTACAGAAGGGCAGAATTGATTACAGGTACACGGACCTAATAACAAATATATACAAAAATGCGAGTACCACAATAAAATTGACGAACGAACACACTACAGAACCAATAAAATTCGAAAGAGGAATCAGGCAGGGAGACATCGCCGAAATTGTTCAATCAGGCTATGGAAGACATATTTAAAAAATTAGAATGGGATACATACGGAATAAGAGTAAAATGGAGAGCTCTTGAACCACTTGAGATATGCAGACGATATAGTCCTGATAACAGATAAGAAGGAAGAGTTACAGAAGATGGTTGAGGAACTAAATAGAAAAGCGACAGAGGTAGGTCTAGAGATGAACTATAGTAAAACCAAGACTATGACAAACTAAGAAGACCAATTAGAAATAGTAGTCAAACAGAATAAATTAGAGCAGGTGGCAGAATACATATACCTAGGACAGATAATAAAGCTGAACAGAGACAATCAAACAGAAGAAATAAAAAGAAGAACTAGACTAGCATGGGCCTCATTTGGTAAACTATCATATATTCTAAAAAATAAAAAGTTCCCTCAATATATGCGAACGAAAGTATTCAACCAGTGCATTTTACCAGTTATCACATATGGCTCACAAAAATGGACTTTCACAAAGGAGAACATCGACAGGATATCCAAAACACAAAGGGCAATGGAAAGACAGATGCTGGGTATCGGTCTTAAAGACAGGAAAAGAAACTCATGGATCAGAGAAAAAACAAAGGTGAACGATGTATCAAGACAGGTTGCAAAACTTAAATGGAACTTCGCCGGTCACACTCTCCGGCAAAAAGATGAAAGATGGAATAAGCGATATCTACACTGGAGACCATGGGAAAAGAAAAGAAAAGAAAAAGAGGAAGTCCACAGATGAGATGGACTGACGATCTTAAGAGAACGGCAGAAGAAGACTGGATGCAGATCGCCCAAAATAGAGACCAATGGAGATTAACAGGGGAGGCCTATGCCCAAGAGTGGGCGTTTAAGGCTGATTAGATAGATAGATTAGAAGTACAATGTTGTTATAGTTTAGTTTAGGACTGCTACTCAAAGTGTTTGATATTGGTTGAAGCGTGTATTACAGCCTGACCTATTACGGTAAACATCTATTTCATATATTTTTTAGAGGGTAATACATCATTTACTATAATAAGGCTGTTCTGTCGGCCAAATTGAAATGGAGGCGTCCGCCTAAGAACTTTCTAACCGGAAACATTTCTCATGATCTGACTCAACTCAGTACAACAAAAGAGAAAGGTATGTAAATCGCGGACGATGAAATAACATGTTTAAAATAAATTGGTTCTAGTGCAAGATATTAGCGAATAAAATGTTTTGTGTGATAGAACTTCAGGTGACATCGTACCTGTCTCTGATACTGCTAACAACATCATTCCTCCCCTCTCCTTTCAGATTGGGAAAATCAAGAGATTTCATGATGAAGCGGCTGAGGAACTTCGAAAACTGGAGAGTTAACAAAAGGAAGTTGAATCGAAGATATTTCCCTCTGGGTATGACTGTAAAAGTGCATACAGATGTTTAAATAAAACAGAAGTTACTGCCTTTATTGACGCAAGGGGAGAAGTAGCGTTGCATAAAATTGACGATTCAGATGTTGTTGACCATATAAAGTATATATTTATCAACTAGTTTTTCTAGTCTCTGAACCATATGTTAGGACTGGGCGTATAATTGTTTTGTAGAGTTCTATTTTTGTATTTCTGCGATAGTATTTTTTTCAGTGTTAAGGAGCGCTCCCAGGTATACAAATTCGTTTACTGCTTCGATGACGTCGTTTTTATCACAAGTGGTCGTAAGATTTGTGGTTGTGTTTGTTGGTGTTTATTATTAAACCCATTTTTGTAGCTGATTCTTTTAATGTTACATACGCCTCACGTACACCGTTTTCCGTTCTCCCAACAATTTTGATATCATCAGCGTATACTGATGATATCAATCCACTGATATCAAGCCAGGATTTCCACTGATTTATTATACAGGGTGACAATTAGCAGTAGGACGATTTTGAACTAAATGGTACACAAGAAATTTGCAAGAAAATACTATTTTATTAACATCAAAATCAAGCTTATATTATGCCATTTACAATCTAATTAAGTATGAAAAATAATGTCATCAAGATGGTGACCATCAAGTTGGATTTCCTGGCGAATTGCGTTCTTCAACTCCATCAAATTACGAGGCTTGCTAGCATATACATGAATCTTCAAATACCCCCTTAGAAAAAAATTACAAATTGACAGGTCTGGAGACCTTAAAGGCCACGGCAAATCTCGTGAAGCGTGAACTAAGTTGTCCTGGGAACAGGTTGTGGAGAATATTCATTGAAGCATGAGCAGTATGTGCCGTGGCGCCATCCTGCTGAAACCACACATTTCTTGGGTTTATCCCTTTTCTGCGTTGTTCTGGAACCAAAAAATCATGTTAACGTACCGAATAGAATTAACGGTGACGGTATGGCTAGCCTCTTCGAAAAAATATGGCCCAATAATGCCAGTCGGACCAATGACACACCACACTGTGACTTTTTGAGAATGTAAAGGACGCTCATGGAGATTTCGTTGGTTTTCAGGAGCCCAGTACCTGTAATTCTGTTTATTAAGGGTTCCGTCCAAATGGAAATAAGGTTCGTCACTCATTAGAAGATGCTGACCTAAGTTATCCTCCCAAAGAACTTGCATACTCGTAGCGAAATCCTCACGTGGTTCAACATATCTTTCCATTAATTTCATGACAATCTGCAATTTGTAGGGGTGAAATTTTGGGTCCTTATGCAACATTTTTTTAAACGATTCCCGATTAATGTTTAGCTGAATTGCATGTTTTCGGGCGGACCGTATAAGGCTTCTGACGACGGCATCTCTCACTCGCTGTACGTTTACAGGAATTCTTACTGTTCTGTTCGGACCTTGTTGCTTTTTTTCATGACACTGCCTGCTGTTCTAAAATTCTTTATCCATCTTAAGATTGTGTGGCGAGATGGAACCGCTCCACGCCTACCAATATTGAAGTGAGTGCGAAAAAGCCACTGCGTAGTGATCACTGATCCTTGATTTCGGATAAACGTATTGTATGCAAACGTGAAATTTTCTACCGTCCACTACTCCATGTTTACTAAAATGGCACACTATTAAAGAGGTAGTAACGCCGCGCTTGTCCCACTCTCATCCCCTCAAGCTTCGCACTATGCGTTCTAAAAACATCCGGCTCCCGACTGTCACCCAGTATATTGAACCAGTGGTTGTGATTTGAGACATACGTATTACTTTTTCCAGAGTCAGATTGAACAGGAAAGAGGGTCTCCCTGGCGCAGCGCGTTATTTATTTAAAAAGGTTCAGACAGTTCTCCCTGAATTTGTACTCTACATTTAACTTTTTTTAGAGTTTTGAATGACAGGTTCTAGAAAGCGCACAAAAAACGAATATCCTTAAAAATGATAAAGGGGATATTATTACTGATATGAAGGAGAGATTATGTCACTGGACCAATTACATTCAACAACTATTTAATGATGAAAGAGAAGAACTGTCATTAGAAATCACCGAGGATACTGGACCACCAATATTAAGAGAAGAAGTCATCTA